ACCATTTTATATTTCTATCAGCAATGTACAAGTGTTCTGGTTTCTCCATATCCTTGCTAATCCTTGTTATTTTCAGGTTTGTTTATTTGTTTTGTGTGTATAATAGTCATTCTACCGCATGTGATGTGGTATCTCATTGTGGTTTTGATTTTCATCTCCCTAATGACTAGTGATGTTGAGCATCTTTTCATGTGCTTATTGGCCATTTGTGTACCTTCTCTGGAGAATTGTCTATTTAAGTCCTTTGCCTATTTTTAAAATTGGGTTGTTTGTTTTGTTGTTGATTTGTAAGAGCTCTTTATATATTCTGAATATGAACCCCTCATAAGATATATGCTTTGCAAATATTTTCTCCCACTCAGTGCATTGTCTTTTCACTCTTTTGATAGTGTCCTTTCAAGTAAAATTTTAAAAATTTGATGAGGAACATTTTATCTATTTTTTTCTTTTGTTTCCTGTGCTTTTGGTGTCATAGTCAATAAATAATTGTCAAATCCAAAATCATGAAGTCTTCCCCCTATGTTTTCTTCTAAGAGTTTCAGAATTTTAGCTCTTGTGTTTAGGTTTTTGATCCATTTTGAGTTAATTTGTGTATATGGTGTATAAGGTAACTGCATTCATTTGCATCTGAACATCCAAGTTTCTCAGTGCCATTTGTTGAAAAGATTGACTTTTCCCACTGAATGGTCTCGGCATTTTTGCCTAAAATCCATTGACAATATATGTGAGGATTTCTTTCTGGGTTCTCTATTTTATTACAATCATCTATGTGTCTTTTTTTTTTTTTATGCCAGTTTTGTATGGGTGTACCATATTTTGTATATCCATCAATTTCTTAATAGACATTTAGATTATTTCCAGTATAGTTTTGCAGTAAGTTTAAAAATCAGTAGTGTAAGCTCTTCTCCCTGGAAAGAAGAACTTTCTTCTCCCTTTAAAAGATTGTCTTGGCTATCTGGGATCTGTCAAGATTTCATATGAAATCTATAGTTTTGCAGTAAGTTTAAAAATCAGTAGTGTAGTTTTGCAGTAAGTTTAAAAATCAGTAGTGTAAGCTCTTTTCCCTGGAAAGAAGAACTTTCTTCTCCCTTTAAAAGATTGTCTTGGCTATTTGAGATCCGTCAAGATTTCATATGAATTTTAGGATGAATATTTCTATACCACTGAGATTTTGATAGGGAGTGCATTGAACCTGAAGATGGCTTTGGGTAGTATTGTCATCTTAATATTAAGTCTCCAGGGTGCCTGGGTGGCTCAGTCGGTTAAACGACTGCCTTCAGCTCAGGTCATGATCCTGGAGTCCCGGGATCGAGTCCCACGTCAGGCTCCCTGCTCAGCAGGGAGTCTGCTTCTCCCTCTGACCTTCCCCCTCTCATGTGCGCGCTCTCTCTCTCTCTCTCTCATTCTCGCTCTCTCAAATAAATAAATAAATAAATAAAATCTTTAAAAAAAAAATTAAGTCTCCAATTAATACAGTATCTTTCCATTTATTGATACCTTCTTTCATTTCTTTCAGCAACAATTTTTATTTTTCAGTGTACAAGTCTTTCACTTTCTTGACTAAATTTATTCTTAGTATTATATTCATTTTGTTGCTATTCTAAGTAGAATCATTTTTTAATATCTTTTGTCCATATATAATTTTTTCTGTTTTTTAGTTCTTTGTTCATTTTTTCCTCTTAGTTTTTGATCACTTAACACGTTTGACTTATTATTTCTTCCAAGTTTTTATTTAAATTCCACTTAGTCAACATACAGTGCAATATTAGTTTCGGGTATAGAATTTAGTGATTCATCACTTACATACATCAGCCAGTGCTTATCGTAAGGAGTGCACTCTTTAATCCCCATCACCTATTTCACCCATCCCCCTGCCCCTCCCCTCTGGTTACCATCACTTTGTTCTCTACAGTTAAGAGTCAGTTTCTTAGCCTTCCCCTCTTTTTTCCCCAATGTTCATTTGTTTTGTTTCTTAAATTCCACATATGAGTGAACTCTAGAAATCAGATTCTCCCACTTCCCTGGGGGTTGAGGTTGCTGGGGTTTCATTGTTTTGTTTTTGATTTTGGACTGTTGAAGGCTATAGTAGTCCTTTGTTGTGGTACTTTTGCAAATTCTTTAAAGACTATTGTTTGTCATGTGTGATTACTGAGGTTTCTGATCCTTTAGCTCGTGTTCAGTTAATGTTTTGACAGAGATTTCCTTGAGGGGCAGGAGCTCAAATGAACAAAGAAAAACATGACCAACCAAAAAAGAAGAGAGAACAACCACTGTGCAGATTGGCTCTGTGCTGGGATACTCCTTCACCACTTAGCTGGACTTGCTCTGAGCCTAGGGATCAGCCTGAGATGAAAGCTTAAGGTTTTCTCAGGACTTTGCTGAGCATGCATCTTGCCCAGGCATGTTCATGGCTGTCTTAATACCCCCATGCATATAGCTGTCTTGAACATCCTAATTTCAAAAACAAAAAACAAAAAAATCCCCCAAACTCACTCCAGCATCTCCCCCAGACCTTGATGGTCTATTGTATATCTCCACCCATAATCTCTTACCTCAGGCAACTTCACTTTTGTAGTTTGCCTGGTAGCTTCTATGAGCCGGGCCTGCTGCTTTTTTCTGAGTTACATAAAGTGAGTTCCTTGCACCTGTCCTTCAGGCAGCCCCCCAGATAGGTTAGAACAGATGCACACAATAATCATTATTTTACTTTAAAACATCTGTTTTTGGGGGCACCTGAGTGGCTCAGTCGTTAAGCATCTGCCTTCGGTTCAGGTCATGATCCCAGGGTCCTGGGATCGAGCACCGTATCGGGCTCCCTGCTCCGCGGGAAGCCTGCTTCTCCCTCTCCCACTCCCCTTGCTTGTGTTCCCTCTCTCGCTGTGTCTCTCTCTGTCAAATAAATAAATAAAATCTTTTAAAAAACTAAAACATATGTTTTTTAAAAAGTTAATCGGTATCACAAATGGAAAACAGTATGATTTGCCAAAACCAGAAGGCAATTATAACTATAACTATAATGCAAACAAAACAATTTTTCTTGAATTCTAGCTAAACCCTGTTCCCACTAAAAGCTCCAGTCCTGAAACTTACTCTTGGTAGTTCCAGAGCTTTTAAAAACATGTCAGAGAGTCTCCTTAATACAATCAGAACAATTGGAAGGGAACCTAAAATGAGATGTCATTCAATGTTGTTTTTTTTTAATTTTTTTTCCTGGACCCTTTTCAAATCATTTTATGTTTCATGAGAGGGATGATCTCAACACATTGCTTAGTGGTTGAGTACAAAGGCTGTGGACCAAGAATTAAATTCAAATACCAACCCTACCACTGACCAGCTGGGTGACTTTGAGTGAGTTATTGTGCTTATCTGAGCATTCATTTCTTCTCTTATGGCCTATAAAAATCTAGCCTCACATAAAACCTGCACATGAATGTTGAGGGCAGCTTTATTCACAATAGCCCCAAACTGGAAACAACCCAGATGCCCTTCAATGGGTTGACACCCAAACTGTGGTTCATCCATAACATGAAGTACCATTTAGCAGTAAAGAGAACAAAGTATTGATGAACATAAGAAGCTGGATGAATTTCCAGAAAATTATACTGAGTGAAAAAAATAAAAACAGAGCTAGTCCCAAAAGGTTACATACTATAGGATTCCATTTGTGTAACACTCTTAAAGTGACAAAATTATAAAACTAGGGAATAGATCAGTCCCTGCCAAGGGCTTAGGGATTTGGAGGGAGGGAAAAGATGAGGGAGATGGGTGTAGATATAAAAGAGCAACACAGGAGATCCTCAGGATGACGGGAGTCTTCTGTAACTTGACTCTGGTGGTGGATGCACATTTGAGAAAATACACGTAGACACACACAAAAAAGTAAAAGTAGACTGCTGGGAGATCTAAGTGAGATTGGTGGACTGTAGCAATGTCAGGATCCTGGTTGTGATATTGAACTGTAGTTTTGCAAGATGCTACCATTGGAGAAAACTGAGTAAGTGGCACACAGGATCTCTCTGTGTTATTTCTTATAACTGCATGCAAATATATAATTATCTTATTTAAAAAGATTTATTTATTTATCTGAGAGAGAGAGAGAACATGTATGCATGCATGTGTGCATTAGTTAGGGAAGGGGCAGAGGGAGACAGAGAATCTCAAGCAGGCTCCATGCTGAGTGCAGAGCCCTACCCAGGGCTCGATCTCACCACCCTGAGATTATGACCTGAGCAGAAATCAAGAGTTATCCGCCCAACCGAATGAGCCACCCAGGTACCCTGCAAATATACAATGATCTTAAAATAAACAGTTTAATTAGAAAAATAAAAGCCTTATAGGTTTTCTGGGAGGATCAGATGAGGTAGTATTTTGGGAAGGAAATTCATTTAACAAAAGTTTATTGAGCCTCTCATTTGTCCAGGCACTATGTGAATGCTAAGCTGAGAACAATAAATAAAATACACAGGGTCCATGTTCTAGTGGAAATTTTAGTATACTAGAGTGCCACACAAAAGTGAGTTGTTACTTTAAAAAATTATCCTTAAAATTGGCTCAATATTGTTCACTAATTGACAAGTAGTGTTCATTGAGTACTTGGATATAATGAAAATAGACTCAGAGAGATTACAAAACTTGCCCAGGTGCCAAGTAGAGCCAGGAGCGGGATCCAGACCCAGATCTGAGCACCAGGTTGTGGCTCATCATCTCTAAACTCGTTGCCTTCAACAAAGGGGTATTGTTGTCTTTGCAGGACAACCCAGTAAAGACAGCCAAAGTGGAGTGTGGGGACTTTTACAACTCTGGACATAGAGCAACTATGGATGAAGAGGGCTACATCTGGTTCCTGGGGAGGAACGATGACATCATCAATGCCTCTGGGTAGGTATGGCTGACCTGAGCCGGGAGGCATCACCCTCACATGCCTCATGGGATCTAGCTTGTTCTGACATTCATCCAAGCTTGGTGATGGTTAGCTCAGGCTAACTCTGAACAGAGCTCTGTCTATGGGGCCCTTTTCTGGGGATACCTGTGCACCTCCCCCAAGCCCTGCATCCAGAAAAGTCTATCAAAATGTAGTTCAAGAAGGTCTGCAAGGCGAACCATAATGAGACATTATGCAATTTAAGGGATTTGGAAGGAAGACGTTACATAGGCCCTTATTGCTTGAGGAAGCTTCCTCTATGTTTGGCTCCTCTAATGGGACCCAACAATCACTGAACATTTTAATAATAGATAACAACAACATAAACCTTTCTGGGGCACTTACTATGGGGATGCACACTCTGCAGTGCTTTATATAACCCAGCTCTCAATGCTAGAAGGTAGATGCAGTTATGCCCATTTTACAGATGAAGGAACCGGGTTACTGACTAGTGAATAAAGTTCCCTAAAGTTTCAAAGAGTGCTGGGTACCACCAAGATTTACCAAAGCTGTCTGGCTCCAAGTCAGTTGTCCCTAAATCTTAACGTGATTTGGAAAGAAAAAAAAAATGACACATTATACCAGAGTAACAAGTTCTCTTGGATATTTCAGGGAAGTTGAGTGTGTTTACCTTTTAAATTTCTAAAACATGCTAATGTAATGGGGAAGAGTATGCAGAATTTGCATGAATGTTTAAGATAAAGGCTGAGGCTTCTACTAGGTTTCATGCCAAGGGAAGCTGCTTGAGCCCAGCCCCAGAGCTCGGGGAGGACTAAATATTCACCCTCCTCCCTGAGCAGAGGCAGTGAGGTGAGAAACTCTGGGGACCATGTGAGTGTTGTATTTCTCAGCACGGAGTGCCCATTCTTCATGTTTGGGGCCCATGACAGAGCCAGGGCACAGGTATCTGGCTTCCTGTGACAGTTATCCTATGTGACAAGGGACGAGGTGACCCTCCAAAACATGAGACTTGAGGGCTTGGGTCACCCGGCCCTGGCAGCCACTCAGAAGCCAAGAAGGAGCCTGCAGGTACCGCATCGGGCCCGCAGAGGTGGAGAACGCCCTGGCCGAACACCCGGCTGTGGCTGAATCAGCTCTGGTGAGCAGCCTGGACCCAATGCGAAGGGAGGTGAGGAGGACACAGAGGTCATCGTGTCTGTGTGTGGGCACCAAGGCAGGTGCCGGGAAACCTTCCTCCTGGTCCTGTCTCTCCAACCTTGGACCTAGGGTGGAGGGGGGCCCCCCGGGGTGTGCATGTGCGTTTACACTGTGTGGCCACCAGAGAGCAGTGTGGCCTCAACCATGTGTGACAGAAAATGATGCTTGTGAATGTGGCTTGCAGCTGGGGCTACTGCTGCCCATCTCCTAATTTCTGAGCCCTTCCTACCTGCCGGCTCATTTCCCCCTCACAGCAACCTCATTAATTAAGGACTCTGAGACCCTTTTTTACAGGGAAAGAAACAAGCATAAGGAGATTAAATAAGTTGCCTGATCACAAAGCTGTTAAGTGGTGGAGCCAGAATGGGAATCTGAGCAGTCTGGCTCCAGAGCAAGCATTCATTGATTCACTGTGTGCTGAGCACCTACTCTGGACAAGGCCCTGTGCCCTGTAGAAGCGACATGAATAATAGGAATGTAGTTAATCACCACCATTGATTTAATGCCCACAGAACTCTACCTATAATAATAGGGAAAATGGTGATGATAATGATAGGAATAAAAATCAGTTTAAACGAGCTTCGTGGTTTATATGAATGATCTCGATGAATCTTGAGAGCCATGCCCTGAGGAATGAAGCCATGCTGTCCCCACATCAGAGAAGGACATGGAGGCTGAGAGAGGTGAAGTAATTTTCCAAGGCAGAGAGTAGAAATTGGAAGTATGGACACTGGTCCTGTTCTTTTCCAGAGGCTCAACTGTCAACTTGTTTTTCCATTTACTTAATACACATTTACTTTTTAGACTATACACTTGGTTGCCACTCCCCCTGAGCCTCCACTCTGGTTCTGCGCTGCAGGTGGTGAAGGCATTTATTGTCCTGACCCCGGAATTCCTCTCCCATGACCGGGACCAGCTCACCAAGGAGCTGCAGCAGCATGTGAAGTCAGTGCCAGCCCCGTATAAGTACCCCAGGAAGGTGAGTGAGGGCAGAGGGATGGGGTCTGGTCCCCTCCAGTGGGCCCTGGGCTCTGCTGCCCCAAATCTCCTGGGGTGGCTGGGGTGGAGCTTATGTAGCCCATGGAATGAGCATTTTTCTCTACTGAAGAAGCATTCAACTTAGGGGTTTAGGGGAGATCCATCTTAATCATGGAAACCTCTATCCTGTGTCAGAAAACAAAAAGGCTGACAAAAAACCTGCAGAAAAAAATCAGCCAAGAGCCTAGAAATATCCAAGAAGGTTATTTGAAATCTTTCACAATTTGAAAAAGACATTCGGGGCACCTGGGTGGCTCAGTCGTTAGGGGTCTGCCTTCGGCTCGGGTCACGATCCCAGGGTCCTGGGATCGGGCTCCCTGCTCGGCGGGAAGCCTGCTTCTCCCTCTCCCACTCCCCCTGCTTGTGTTCCCTCTCTGCTGTGTCTCTGTCAAATAAATAAAAATAAAACTTTCACAATTTGAAAAAGACATTCAAGTCAACAACTGCCACACTTTTAAAAAACATTATTTGTAGTAAGAAATATATTCTAAATTGAAGCCCAATACATATATAGATACATAACAAACAAAAGGTAACAAAATAATATTTATTGTAGCATAAAATACATTCTGAGAGATTTTTTTTCTACCTCGTTTTCAGTGCCATGTGCGAACTATGAAAATGTCCAACAATAGAGAAATGATTAAATTATTCGTGGTAATTAATGCTGTCCTATGATTTAAAAAGATGATGCAGATCTCTTATTTGTAACATAAAAAACATCACAAAAATATATTATTAAGAGAAAAAAGACTGTGAATAAATATACATGTTATCTGACTTGTTGAAAAACCACGTTTGCAAGGATACATGGGTCAAAAATTTAACGTGTCTTTCTTTTGTAATAATACATTGCTGTGCTTTCTGAGTGTTTACCCAAAGGTAGATAGCTAATATTTATTGAACATGTGTGCCGGGCGCTGGACTCAAAGCTCTACATGTATTATTTCATTTAATCCCCCCAAACCTGAGATGGTATAACCATCCATTTGACAGAATGGAAACAGGAGAGGCTCAGAGACTCACAGTAAATTGCCTGAGGTTGGAGTGAAGAAAAGGGCAGAGCTGAACTCAAACCCAGTGTATCTGAAAACGGAGTTCGTCCTTCACATGTAAGGCTCTGCTGCCTCCTAGAGAGTAGACTGGAGGATGCATGCCAGTTAGGATGGGCTGATGTTACTGTGAGGAATTAGTAGCCCCTCGTCTTAGTGGCTCCTACTAGGGAAGTATCTTTCTTGCTCCTGCCACATGTCCGCATGGTCTTCCTGGGACCAGGATAAAGGAGCACCCATCATAGGTAATTGCCAGGTGCTAGAAGAGATGGACAGAGTGGATGCCAGACCCAGTGGTCCCAAGTGTTCTGTTCGAGGTGGCACGCCTCACTCCCACTCACATCTCACTGGTCAGAGCACGTCACAGGGCTGCATCCAACTTCCTGGGTCAGGGGACACCCTGACATGCGTTGGTGGAGCCTATTGGGGCCACCACATGGTGCCAGCCCGTCTGGGGGACTGTGCAGGGGCAGAGGAGGAGCCTGGGGCATTGGTAAGAAATGACAGCAGGACTAAGTTGGGATGGGTTTGCGTTATCCTTGACCAGGTGGAATTTGTCTCAGAGCTGCCCCAAACCGTCACTGGCGAGATTAAAAGAAGTGACCTTCGGAAAAAGGAGTTTGGTCAGATATAATCAGCAAAACCCTCAGAAACCACTGTGTCTTCTTCGCCAAATCCCTGGCTGCCTCAGTTTCCTCACTATGGGGAGGGTGAGGAGGGGAGTGTTGGACATTGATTTTAAGAGCATCAGGAGTGCTCACATTCCAGCATTTTTGTCCTTTTAAATTACTGTCCGTTACTCTCCTGCTTCCAAGTCCCCGAGTGAGAGCCCAGGATGTGGCTGGGGTAATAAACGGACATGAGCATCCAAGGGGACTTGTGTTGTGCTTCGATTCTGTGAATGAACCAGTGCTAAATGCTGTCCCTCCATGATTCTCCCCAAGCCCCATTGGAGAGGACTCTGGGGCCAGATTCTCCCCCCTGGTTCCAGGGGCCCTGGGTGACTCCTTTTGTCT